CGATTGGCGATTCTTTGCTTTTGTTTTCACAGAGTATGCAGTTTTAGCGGCTACTGTTGTTGTGCGGGCTGTTGATGTCGGAGCAGCCATAGTTATCATTCTTACTCTGGTGCAGATGTTGAATCTCCTTTCTTGTTGTTGTCATTGCTGTCTTGCTGTTGAAAGTCTTGCTGCTGCTGGTGCTGCTGTCGTTGCTTCTGTGGATTGTTGTGGCGGCGGGCAGTGGGTTCGGACTTTTCGCCCCAAATACAAAGCCCGAAGAAGCACCCCAAGTTGCAACAACCCTGACATGAACAAAGCAAACGCCACATTCTGGAAACGGTTAAGCTGCTGGCATTGCATTCAGCTAGGAGGTGGTTGACCTCGCGGTCGACGAAGCATCCCGCTTAGGAGGATCGCAGCTTCGGGATCTGGGTTGCTCATTGCCTGTCCTACAAATACTTACCTGTTAGTTGCGAAGAGTGTGTCCCTACACAGGAATACTGTGGATGATTTTGCGGATTTGAAAGAGATGGGAAGCAGCGAGGACGTCGTGCGCAAGTCCAGCGACCACTTCCCCTGGCTATACTGTAGCGGCTGGCGGCGAGCACGACTGCATTTGCCTGCACCTACATTGGACCCACGTGAGGCCCCACCCGAAGAATCGCTGTATGCAGCGGAGCGCAAATGCCCTGACAATGCCCAAATGTGAAACAGCCGGCTTCCAAGATCTACAGGGACCCAACTTTAAGACTTTCCAGCACAGGCATCCGTCACCCCACCCTCAACGCCAAAATCTATAATATATATATATATACATACATATATATATATATACACATATATGTATATGTATATTGAAGGCCGACTTCAGGTGGGTGTCCGCTAGTATTCCAAGGACGACAAGCCCGCAGCTCGAGTCCCCACCCCCTGCCGAACAGATGAAAAACCTGAGTGCAACGATATCTTTACATTGGCTGCTATGACTACATGTCTGCATGCATGCATGTAAACACCAAATCACACAAACAAACATCTATGTATCTGTCTGTGTAATATCTCCTTTGCATCTCTCTCTGTCTCTTTCTCTGCCGTGCTTCTTGTCCTTTGCAAGAGAAGACGACTGGAAAACTCTTCAAACGGCTCATGCTTCCAGGGCGCCTGATGCGGCATCATGGCTTCCGTCAGCATCTCGTCGAGAGTGAGCAAGAAGCCTGGGCGGTTTCTGGACATCCGCACCTTCTGCAATTTTCCTGTGGGCTATAGAGCCCCTGGCCTTCGGACAGAGAGCACAACCCCGCGCCGGGTCCGTGTCAGAGAAGTACGGGCGGGCGCAGTACTGAGTACTGGCGAAGACAAGGGGCCCAATGCCACTGAGTTCACGATGAGGTCGTCGATGCCTGGGTCAGTGAAGCTGATAAGTGTCGTCCCTCTGCTCGTTGTCATGCCGTGTTGGCAGTGTGTCACGAGTCACTAAGCTTTGGCAAGATCACATAGCTGAATCACTGTTGCCCCTTCCAAGGCAACTCAAAGACAGCCACAGCTACGATCACTGTCAAAATCTGTGTTTGTTGTGTGCCGCGATGCTGCGGACTGTCACCACTGCGACTACCAACACCAGGACCATGGCAACTACAAGTAATGTCACGACTACCACTTCTGCTACTACCACTACAGGCGGTGCTGCTGCTGCCGGCTACTGTCGGCTGCTGCCATTGCTGCTGCGCTGCTGCTGCTGCTGCTGCTGCTGCTGCTGCTGCTGCTGTTGCTGCTGCTGCTGCTGCTGCTGCTGCTGCTGCTGCTGCTGCGCAGACGGCGTCTGCTGCTAGCACTACTACTACTACTACTACTACTACTACTACTACTACTACTACTACTACTACTACTACTACTACTCAACCACCACTACTACTACTACTACTACTACTACTGCTACCACTACTACTACTACTACT